TTTATCTTTTTTGTTATTAAAAATCCCACATTGTAATAATACGATGATGTGACTGCACATGCGCACGAAAGATAGGAAACGCTGAGAATTCTAATTTTTTTTTTTTTTTTGGTATATAGTCTAAACAATTTAATTTAACTTCCTTCTTTTCATGTTTCCATCACTTTTGTTATTAAATACCTCACATTGTGATAATATAAAATCTGCCAAGAAAGGGCAAATATTGTAAGAACCTGGGCGTAAATTTCTTGTGGATGATTTAGCAATTAAAGCACATTCTATACATTTTCATCTTACTAAAATTGCTTTCGCTCTTAATTAGAGTAGCAGTTTTTAAATCAAAATTATGGCCAGACTCATTATGGCGAGCAACTAATTCGTTGAGTGTGTTCTTTTGTAAAAGATCCCTTTTGTGTTCATAAAATCTTTTCTGTAAATTACTCGAAGTTTCTCCTTTGTATTCCTTGTGGCAATTATTACAGGTTATAGAGTAAATACCTCCTTCAAGTTTTAGCTTATCATTTTGTATTAAGTCTTTTATGGCTTTAGAAATAGTTGCTACAAATTTTATGTTGAGTTTAGATAAATTCTTTTCAATTGTAGTTGTGCTTGAGTTGGTGGGTAATAATAATATATTTTGATTCGTTGGGTTTCTCAGGAAAGTCAATTCTTCCATTTTGTTTCACGTTGAAAGTGAAATAATTAGGACATTAAAAGTATTTTCAAAGTATTCCACCTCTTAATATAAATATTGAGGGTTACACATTCTGAGAGCTTTAAACAGAATTGCATTTTGTTGTAATGGAGAGAATAGAAATTTATGATATTATATTTATTAGTTGATTTGCAATGGCCACTTAGCTTTATTCTATTGTCATAGATAACTAGATAGAAACAGAATGATAGATAGATAGATTGATTGATAGAAACAAATTGACACACATATATATATATATATATATATATATATATATATATATATATATATATATATTGATATATACGAACAGACTGTGATAGATAGATAGATAGATAGAAACAGAATGATATATATATATATATACTGATAGATAGAAACAGAATGATATATATAGATAGATAGATAGATACAAAGAGATTGAGAAAGAAAGAAACAGACTGTGATAGATAGATAGAAACAGACTAAGAAAGAAAGAAAGAAAGAAAGAGACTGAGATAGATAGATAGATAGATAGATAGATAGATAGATAGATAGAAACAGAATGAGATAGATAGAAACAGACTAAGAATGAAAGAAAGAGACTGATAGATAGATAGATAGATAGATAGATAGATAGATAGATAGATAGATAGATAGATAGATAGATAGATAATGATTTTCGATAACGGAGAGTGGTTCTTATTGATTTATTTATTTCTTAATTTATTATATATTTTGTAAATTGTTTGGATAGATTTTTCACTAAAGTTAACGATGGGAAGAATACATTTAGTCAGACTAACATCTATCTATCTATATTTATTTACCTATCTATTCATATTTATCTGTCTATATTCATATCTATCTCTGTTCATATCTATCTATGTGTTTCCGTTCGTATCTATATATCTCTATTCATATCTATCACATTCATTTAATATCTATCTATCTATCACATTCATTTAATGTCTATAAATCTATCACATTCATTTAATGTCTATAAATCTATCACATTCATTTAATATCAATCTATCACATTCATTTAATATCTATTACATTCATTTAATATCTATCTATCACATTCATTTAATATCTATCTATCTATCTATCATTCATTTAATATCTATCTATCATTCATTTAATATCTATCTATCACATTCATTTAATATCTATCACATTCATTTAATATCTATCTATCTATCTATCTATCTATCTATCACATTCATTTAATATCTATCTATCTCATTCATTTAATATCTATCTATCTATCTATCACATTCATTTAATATCTATCTATCTATCTATCTATCACATTCATTTAATATCTATCTATCTCATTCATTTAATATCTATCTATCTATCTATCTATCTATCACATTCATTTAATATCTATCTCATTCATTTAATATCTATCTATCTATCTATCTATCTATCACATTCATTTAATATCTATCTATCTATCTATCTATCACATTCATTTAATATCTATCTATCTCATTCATTTAATATCTATCTATCTATCTATCTAACTATCACATTCATTTAATATCTATCTATCACATTCATTTAATATCTATCTATCTCATTCATTTAATATCTATCTATCTATCTCATTCATTTAATATCTATCTATCTCATTCATTTAATATCTATCTATCTATCTATCTATCTCATTCATTTCTATCTATCTATCTATCTATAATGTTTGGTTTCTAACTGTACAATACAATTTCTATTATCTAGAAATTATTGTTTATGTATTGTTTACTCCTTCTTGTCGCCTTAATTAAATCCCAAAGCCCGATGTTTGCTATTATTTCAAGTTAAACAATAACTACTTTTTTTTAACAATAAAAATATATAAGCATTTACATTATAACAATATATAAGCATTTGCAAACATTAACATCGCGATAATTTTTTTGATAAGCCAAGTAATACAATATATACAATTCGCACTTACTAGTGACTAATTACAAAGAGTGACTAATTTATGAAAAATGATATTTTGCTGAGCCGTTCTTTGATAGAACTTGTTTCGTAAGTTAATCAAAAGTGATGAAGGGAAAATAAAAAAAGAGAAAAAAGAGAGAGCAAATATAGTAACAGTGAATAACAAATGAAATTGTCTATATTTCAAACTGTTTATTATGTCATTCGTCACGATTGATTGTTACGTTGTTAAATGGGTTCGCCTGGACGGGGAAAGTTTTGCTAACGCAGGGGGAGATAACCCGTTAGACTAACTACAAGTCAGACTGAAAGATAGTGCGTGACATAATCAGATGTTTATTGTTTCTTACCCTTTCTTTCTTTCTTTTTTTTTTTTTTTTTTTTTTTTTTTTTTTTTTTTTGTTGTTCCTACTGCAATCGACCTATTAAGGTTGTAGTAGCCGAGGCAGATGACAATTCACCCGTGCTCTTTTTCGAACGGAGTGTTGAAGGCCGAGGGAATCGATAGCCAATGAATATAGATATGGAAGGACACAGACGAAGACAAAATCGACTGACAAAAATAAAATTTATAATGTCCAGTGTCCACTCATAGTGTTTGCGGACTTTCTATTAAAATTCTGTCGTCAATATTCTACAGAAGCAATCGTGGCGAAAATAAATACGAACAAAATAAACATTTCTAAGGTGTATTAACTATCTGGTCTTTCAACAGGTGGGCACTTTAACTAAACATGTAAACGCGTTTAACGGAAAAGAGTAAAAGACACTGGTAGATTTCCACGTTTCAACTTCTCCCTATCTATCTATAATTCTGTTCATCTCTCCCAATCTGCTCATATCTATCTGTTCATATCTACCTTTTCATATCTATCTATCAGTTTATATCTATCTATCTATCTATCTATCTATCTATCTATATCAGTTTATATCTATCTATCTATCTATCTATATCTATCTATCAGTTTATACCTATCTATCTATATCTATCTATCTGTCTATCTATCTGTTTATACCTATCTGTTTATACCTATCTATCTGTTTAACTTTATACCTATCTATCTATCTATCTATCTGTCTATCTGTCTGTTTAACTTTATATCTATCTATCTATCTATCTATCTATCTATCAGTTTATATCTATCTATTTATGTCTATCTGTTTATATCTAACTGTTCATATCGATCAGTTTTTATCTTTCAGTCTGTTCATATCTATCAGTTTATCTATCTATCTAGCTATATATCTATCTGTTCATATCTATCAATTTATATCTGTCTATTTATATCTATCTATCTTTCCACATCTATCAGTTTATACCTATCTGTTCACATCTATCTGTTTCTGTCTATCTATCTATCTGTTCACATCTATCAGTTTATCTATCTATAATATCTGTCTTTCTGTTCACAGCTATCTGTTTATATCTAGCTCTCTGTTTATCTATCAATTTATCTAACTGTCTATCTATCTATCTATCTATCTATCTATCTCTATCTATCTCTGTTCATATCTATCTTATATATCTATCCATCATTCTATTCATATCTCCGGCGTAATGTATTCACACACATACAGAGTGAGCGAGGGCGGGAGTTAATGTTTGTGTATATGTGTATTGACACAAACATGTCCAGACATGTTCGAATCCGGGTAAAAATCAGCATTTTCAAGGCTGATATTCTTAGTTCAGTAGACATGCAACTCCTCCTTACTATGAAGATAAGTTATGCTCTATTTTTCCTACTTGTTCTTATGCCATACTCAACTAAAATTGCTAACTACAATAATAATAATAATAATAATAATAATAATAATAATAGAGCCTTTCTTGTATATGAACTAATTGTTTATTTCCCATCAATACCAAAAAATGGTACTTGATCCTTAATGACCATCCAAAAATTTTGGCGCAGTATAATCTTCCTACCCCCATTTTCTCGGTAATACCTCGTGACATGCTAAACTTACCAAACCATCTGTTTTGTGGAATATAAATTACTTATTTATCCCTAACCAGATTCAACCCACAAACGCAGACCGAAACTTTTTATTTGACCTTCACCAAGAGCTAAAAAGTAATAATTTTAAAGTACGGAAGACTGTAAAAGAAAAGAAAATGTTCTATTTTCTTTTGCTAAAAAGAAAACAACATCAGAACAACATCAAAACAACTTCAAAAATCAAAAGATCATTCTTATCCAAGGAAATCCAACCCTAATTCCTAACTCTAACCTTAAGCTTCATATTGCTAATTTGTTCTTATTTAAAACATTTGACAGCATTTGCCCCTTCTTTGGGACAAGTAAAATCTGACAACTTACCCAGTTGGAAGTCAACAAAAAACAAAAAAAAAGAAGGTATACAAGACTTACCGTTCAGGACAAAAGTTGAAATGTCTTGATTCTCCTAGATGAAATGACTGTTAAAATTTTGATTCTTTAAACTAACACGACTAATCTAGTTTCTAATTGGCGAAAAAACAGGAAATACAACTTTGTCTTTTCTGTTTTCTTTTGTCTGTTTTAGACTTCCGTAGTTTAAAATTATGAACGTTAGTTTTCTTTTAAGTGTTCTGGACACAGGTAATCCGGGCAAACCTGCGTACGCCCCCCCCTCCACGCACACATGCACACACGCGCGTGTACATACACTGTGTATAAGTAAATTTAAAAAAAAAAAATGGTTTCCAAAGTAAAATCGACTTGAAATCTGGAGACTTGGACCAGATGTGAATTGTTTCGCTGGAATTTTTGGATGAAACAATTAGTTGATCGATTTTTTTTTATAATGGCAGGTTATTTAAAGCCAGAAAATATTTTTAAGAGTGTAAGAATTTTGGAGAGATAATAATGGTTTTCTGATACAATTCCTACTAATTAACGAACCCATAGCAGGAGGGGAAAGAAGATGTGGATTCATACCTTTGCCAAGGATATTTGCGCGTAAGTGAATATAACGAAGGCAACTTAATTAGAACTCGGCTCTCCGACTTCAAACTCCGAGCCGTTATCCATTACACCACCCGCACATCCGAGCTTACAATACCTGGTATTGCCATCTTAACTTCGGTGATTCGGTTGAAAGGGGCAAGATGCCTATTCATTGCTTTTGAATTATATTTAATAAATCTAATAATGTCTGGCACAAGGCTATAACAAGTACCACATCAAATGAGAATGTTTAATTGAGTATCAATCGCTTGCAAGAATGTGACAATAGATATGAGACGTGTCACATAGCACACTCTTATTCTTAAAGGATATTTTTTTAAAATAATTTTTCAATTGATCTTCCTAGTATAACTGCAATAAAGTATCTGGATTTCTTACAAAAAATGTATTTGCAGTGAGAGGTCTTCATTGCGTTTTAAAATACACTCAAAGTATAAACGTAGAAATTGAATATAAAACGACATATTTTTAAAAAATAACTGATGGAAAAGGAAGAGAAACCCTTTCTAACTAAAAGAAGAAGAAAAAAAAAAAAGAAATGCGAATTTATGTCAGAAAAATAAAAAAAAAATACTTATGTCACAATTCGTAAAGCTGGGCGTTTTTTAAGGGTTGGGACGAGAAAGAACTAAAAAAAAAATATAAATAAAATTGTTATTGCTTTGAAGAGAACACTTGCTAAGTATTTCGAGTTCAATCCATGTTACAGGACTGTGCTTAAAATCGTGAAATAATAATAATAAATAAAAACGTTTCAGACGCTTGTGAACTTTAAATATCTGCCTTTTCAGCCTGCAAAAGATTCGACATTATCCCATCTCAACACATTTTTAGCAGTTTTAATAAATCCACATTTGTAATTTGTTTTAAGGGTTGCATTTGTCTGTCTCTCTATCTATCTATCTATCTATCTATCTATCTATCACGACGCCCTGCCTATTTTGGTTAAGAAAAAAAGCCTTTGATAGTAAATAAAACGAAAGTGACCAAGTCTTTGAAGGCACATAGCATGTGCGCACACACACACACAATATATATATATATATATATATATATATATATATATATATATATATATATATATATATATATATATATATGTGTGTGTGTAAAGAAAAGAGAGAGAGAGAGAGAGAGAGAGAGAGAGAGAGAGATAATGTGCATATTGATACATATTCCGGCGTTTTCCTAAAAAGAACAAAAGTTGTTGGGGCTTGAATCAAATGACTGCTGAGTGGGTCGGTGTAGTTGTAGCTATGTAGTAGTACTCGTAGAATTAGCAGCAATACTGATGGTAATAGTAGTAGTAGTAGCAGGAACTATACGGAGGTTTATTATTATAGCAATTGCAGCAGCAGCAGTAATAGGATTATAGCAGCAGCAGTAGTAGTAATGGTAATTAATTGGGAGTTTTGTAGGGTTAGAGAGACAAAACAACTCAGCACTTTATATAACCTTATTAAGTTTGACGAATACACAAGATTTTTTATCATTTTTATTTTTGTATTATTTTTTAGTCAGGCAGATCATCATAATTCTAAAAGATTGGCGCATTACAACCCCCCTTGCCTCCATTTGGCTTTGTGCAAATAGCAAATATAACTTTGGTGTATTTTGAAAAGAAAAAAGTACCCACCTCCAATATATATATATATATATATATATATATGTATGTATGCATGCATACACGGTACGAAGCCTGAGGTAGAAAAAGAAAGAAAGAAAGAAAGAAAGGAAGAAAGAAAGAAAGGAGAAAAAGGGGAAGAGAGAAAGAAAAGAAAGATGTTGCCTTATTTTTCGTCTTTTTTCCTCGTTTTCAAAAAGGCAAAAATGGAAGCGAGAAACAGAAGGGGGAATTAGGAAGTGGGAGGGAGAAGAAGAAGTGGGAAGAGGAGATTACAACAAAAAACAGAGAGAGTGAAATAGGTAGGTGGACACATATCCACAGAGAAGTATGACGCACGTAGATAAAAAAAATATAAACATTCAAAATTAAGGTTTTTATGCTTATCAAAAGGTTTATATCCATGTATAAACAATTATTATACATTTGCAATATTAAAACGCGTTCCTGAAGCTAAAAGTTTTAATAGCAATATATAGATTTTCAAAATAATATTTTTTTTAAATCTAGTTTTTGGAAAAAAGAGCAAAGTGACGCAAAAATATTCTTTATACTTTTTTTCATGAAGAATAATAGAATCAATTATTTTAATTTGTTAATGAAAAAAGGATGATTATATTGGGTTTACTCATATTTTTTTTTATTTAGCTGTTTTTTTTTTTTTTTTGGTCTTTTTTATGAGGGAATTCATGGTGCCAAAGAACAAACCACAAATAAACATATCTATATATATATATATATATATATATATATATATATATATATATATATATATATATTTTATATATTTAGGTGATACATATTTCAAAAAAATATCAAAACTTTCAGAAATAAAATCTCTCTCTCTATATATATATATATATAAATATAATATGTGTGTGTGTGTGTGTGTGTGTGTATAAAAACTTTTTTACAGATGCTGATCGCAAAGCAATGTAGCTGTAGCATGTTTGCTTGCTATTAATTCTGGGCTGTTTATGTGTAAAAAGAAGTAAAAAAAAATAACAAGTCCGAACACGTGTACAGAGATAGACAGGCAGATATATATATAGAAATAGAGATAGATAGAGAGTTAGAGATATAGAGAAGGAAAGGGTTATAGCTCGCTAAGGATGGTTGCTGGTGTAACACTCGCACACATTTAAAGAAACTGATATATTAGAAAAATAATACACACGCCTACTTTAAAGGCTAACTTAGTAGGCGTGGCTGTTTTTTGTACCCGCCTTCTTCAAATAAAACGGCAAAGCCAAGTGTATCACGACTATATTGAGTGAAGCCTTGAACGGGAATAGTTCGCGCGATAGTAGAACCATAATACATATATGGTTCAATGTCCTGTATGTATACTTAAAACCAAAGTACACAATTAGGGTTTTCAAAAATAGGAAAAAAAATAATAATAATTATCTAAAACTGGAAAAAAAAAGAAATTTCAACTCCGAATTTCTTTTTACCTATAATGGCGTTTTTAGAACACGGAGTTGAAATTCTACGTCCACTATATTCGCGACCAATGATGAATGCTTCAACAACGAAAGTACGCAGGAGACTTTTCGATGATGCAACACCTTTAAATAACATCAAAAGTGTTGCAGAACGTATTTTGAAAGAAGAATCAGAGAAATTTAAAGCAACATATAATTTTGATCTGGATAGCAACAAGCCTCTTGAGGGCCAATGGAAATGGATAGCCGTCCGTGACCACGAAGTGCCTCCTTTTTACACTGAGTCTTACCCTGTCAAAAAACGGTTTAACGTTTTCAGGAGACCGTTTTCGTGTGGAACAAACAAAAGAAAAATGACCCAAGAGGATGCTGACTCGGAGTTTAGCGAGGAAAGAGATGAAGATTCTCTTCGTTCAAACTCGGACTTGTGTTCATCATCACCTCTGCGTTCTCAATCACCGTCAAAGACTTTATCAACACAATTGTCATCTCATTCTCAGGACTCTGTAGGTTACAATTTACAAACTAGTTCTTGTACAACAACAACCACCGACGAACAGTCTTCTTCTCAAACATCAAAACAAACGGCATTTATTGCTCAACCACAAGAAAAACAGATTCGCCAGACGAGTATAAAAGGTGAGTTTTTTTTTACTTGTTTCAAGTTTATCATTTTTTTTTCTGACATTTCCGATTGATTTAATTAGAGCGATTGATTGAAGGAGTGCGTGTCCACAAGAGATTTTTTTGTTTATCGTTAAAAAGCATAATTGGAAAAAAAATAGGGTGGCCAAAAAACTGGAGCGATTAATTTAAAACTATCAAATTATTATTATTATCATAAACTATGCAAAGGTATACTTTATCAATTTATTTATATCAGGCTACGAAATGGGGTTTTTCCAACGTTACCTATTTTCTCCGAGGAAAGTGTCGTTTTAATATCGAAAACGCTAAATTGTCAAATTTGTCATTTGTGTTGAAATTTGTGATTTTCTTTTGTAAATACGTACTCGTCGTTTTGATTGTCCGAATTTTTATTCTTTTTAGTTTGTTTTTTGTTTTGTTTTGTTTTTGTTTTTGGTTTCTTTTTAATTTTTATTTATTTTAGTTTTGACGATCTTCTTCTAAATTAGCGTCACAAATTATTACGGTTGTTGTGAGGGCACTTGTTCAGTTTATTAACAAAATATTAACCAGCAATCAAATCTTGTAAAAAAATCTGTATTATTGAAGTTTAAGAACAAAAGTAAATAGGATCAGCTATTTTACCCCTGATGTATTTTTTTTTTTTTTTAAGTTTTGTCTATAATCATTTCATTTAGTTACACACTAAAAAAAAAAAAAACATGTTTATTAAAAAAAAATGATAAAAAAAATACAAAAACAGCTTCATAAAAGAAAAAAGTATGTTGATCGTGTCGGAAAAAAACAAACAAACATTATTTTCAATTTGGTTATTAGATTTGATTCTAGGAAAAATGTGTTTTTTAATCAACGTTCGCAATATAACAGAACTGATCATTTGGGACGCTAAACTACATGAAGTAAAGTTGTTCTTTTTTTTTTTTTGTTTACTTTACATAGAGATAGAGAGGTGGGGATTTATTTTAATTTGTTCACGATTTCTGATAAGCTTAAAAAAGAAAAAGACACTTTTGCATTTACGGTCGAGTTGAGTCATGCAACAACAACAACATGCGAGAATGTTGTGAGTGCTCGGGTACTGAGTCGACTTGCTTTCACTTGATCTGCAGCGAAAGTTACTAATTACTTACAGCTGTGAAAACACATCAAGTACAAACAAAAACAATGAATGAGGATGAAATGATTTCTTTTTAAATCGGTGCGGTTTTAGTTAAAAACAAAAAAAAAAACAAAAACAAAAAACGAACGACTGTTTAAAAATTCTTTTAGCAAAATTTTAATTATTTCCAATTATTTTGAATTCATTTTTTAAATCATAATCTGTTTGGAAAAAAAATCAATTCGTAAAAAAAAAAAACAACACGGAAAGAGAAAAAGAGAACAATATATTTTAATTAGTGGCTGTTTTGGTCTTAAGGTGTTTGCAACATATACACCAGCATAAAAAAGACGAATTATTCCGATCTTATCAAGAAGAAAGTTTTAAAACTTGTATGTATTTTACGTTTTATAGAGAATGAAATCGCTGTTGTTTTGTTGTTCGTTTTTTGTTTTGTTTTAGAAAATTCATTCACTAAAAAGTATTTGTTTAAACTAAAGTTACTCTCCTTGAAGAAATACTCAAGATTTCGTATGCACCAACACTAGAATTCGGTAACTTAAAAATGTAAATTATAAAAAAATATTATTAAACCTTGTATATTGTCGGTTAGTTTTTCCCTGTTGTTTTAACTATGGTTTCTCAAAGTCTGGCATCCCCCACCTCCGGTTAGAAAATTGTCAAACGAGATCGTGGATTTGATTTTAGGTTTGAAAGTCGACATAAGTACATTCAAGAGAGATGGTGGGGGAAGACGAAACAGAAGACAAGGGGATATGTATATTAGGTAATTAGATTGCATATTAAGAAACTGGTATATACCCCACCCCGCAAATACAATTATCCTTGTAACATTTATTATGTATTCTCAAGTTGTTTTTTGTTTGTTTCTCTCTCTCTCTCTCTCTCTCTCTCTCTCTCTCTCTCTCTCTCTCTTTGACAGTCGGGTCAAATTTATTGCCGATTTTAATTTATGAAGTTTCCATTTTCTTTCAATTGGTACACAAAATGAAAGCCATTTCTTTTGGCTAGAATTAGTGAGCTGCATTTTGCGAAAGTAATACATATTTGATTGTTAAAGCCACGAGTAAGCGAAAGATGCCTTCCAAAAAGTTAAGCAAAGTATTAAGAAACAGGAAAATTTCGTTAGAAACAAAGAAAAAGAGTGCTGAACTATTACACAATGTCAGTCCTCCTATATGTTAGCGTCAAAGATTAAGAAGAAACTTGAAGCAACAAAAATGTGGTTCTACAGAAGGATGCTGAGGATACCATGTACCAAACATGTGAGTGATGACGAAATTTTGGCTAAAATAGAAGCAAAAATGACACATCAGAAAGAGAGAGTTGAAATTTCTCGGTTACATAATGAGGAAAGCGGGCTTGGAAAATCTGATACCCACGGGACAGGCAAAAGGGACAGAGGAAAACAATGCATGACATACTTAGTAAATGGATGGCGGAACAAGGTTTAGGAGAGATAACGAAAAAACAATTTAAGAGCTACAAAAGAAAGGAAATTGTGGAGAGCCATGATGGCCGACGTCCTGAAGAGACACGGTACATAGAAGAATCTGCATATAAATAAAATTGCAAATTTCGAGAAGTGACAGATCTCTATTACTATTGTTTTAATTTTATTGACATCAATTATTCGTTGCAATGACCTTTAACTTTGTTGGCCTAAAAAGAAATTTTATCAACGCATTTTATACTCATCCAAAACAATATATAGAATTAGAATAAATAGAAGCTATAAAATACAAACAATTCATTATTGTATTATCATATTCCCAAGATAGTCCTACTCCTAATTAATGTTATTTTAGTTTGACACAAGGTCACAGCAATAGATAAAAACAACAATGGAAATCGAAATTGCTTGTAAATATCTGCCAGTGAGATTCTTAATCAACGTAAGCGACGTACACCAATGATTTTTTTTTAAAATATTGGTCAAGTTTATACTCGTTAACAGCAAGGTTATTTTCGTTTATTTATTTTAGACTAGTATAGAAAAAAAACTTACTTGTGGTGTACGATAGAGAGCGTAAAATTATAGGCTGTGTCGATTCGACCAGTTTCCCGAAACCTGGCCAAACTTCAGGATTTCTTCTGGCTTTTGAAGGTGTCTTTGTCGGATCGAGAACTTTTTTTTAGCGTTCTCTTGAAATTGTCAAGTTTCTGAATTTCGCCAGTTTCTAGTAAAGAGTAGATAAAAAAAAAAAACAAAAATGAAAAATAATTTGGTTGGAGGCTATGCTTGAATTTTAAACGTTAAAAAAAAAAAGATAAAAAGAAAATCGACCAGATAAATTATGTAATTGTAATCTGTTAATTTCAATGATAAAATCATTTGAAATTGCCTATTCAATCGTCGCGCAAAATCCTTAAATAACCTTTCCTTGGGACAGAAAAGTACCTTCTATTCACCGATATTGATGGGTGTGTATACGACGAGAATGTGCGTGTTTATTTACTCTGCGCTTCGTACGTCACAAGGTCAAACTGTGGAGAGATGGGGTGTAAAAAAGACTGTGCTGCGCCAGACACCCAACGAAAAATGTGCTTATATTGCATACACTATATTATTATTATTGATTGCTTTTTATTCTTTGGTTAGCTACGTAAAAAATAAATAAAATAAAGTTATGTGTAAAAATAAATTTCACTATATTCGGATAATTTTTACCTCACATCAAAATTTGCGAAAGAATTGAGTTACGTCAATCAATTCTTCACCATGACTGTCAAATTCCGACTTTTGACGGCGAATTTATTTGAAACGCAAGAAAACCCCCGACAAGATTACCTTAAAAAAGAAAATACAAAACTATGATCGATATTTTTTTTTTTTTTTTGTCGCAATTTCTTGCTTTTCTTTAGATAATTAATTTTTTTTATACGTTTCGGACTCGGCTAGGGATTTTAGAATTTTGCTTTTTACCTCGGAAGTTTTCGACATATCAAAAAAAGAAAGAAAAAAACAAAAAACAAACAAGATTGGACCTTCAAAGTTGTATGTTCATGAGAAACTGTGACTAACACTTCAACTATTTTCCTCCTCCGCCTTACTTTTTACACTTATCATTTTTTTTCCTATTACCTTTCCTTTTTTCTGTTACCTTACCTTTTTTTTTGCTTTCTCTTTTTCTTTTTCGCTTTTCTCACTCTATCCACCCTTTCTCACCTTCTTTTTCACCTTCTTTCCTTTCTCGCACTCTCTCTACCATTGTGTTTCTTTTCCGTGCAAATCTAGGCGACGTGTTTTTTTATTTTTTATTTTTTTATTTTTTCTACCGCGGCTGCTTGTGTATCTACCCGGTTAAAGAATTGGGTTGGCAGATAAACGGTTGGCAAGAAAGAGATTATTTTTTTTCCTTTCTCTCATATAGGGATATTCTTCTTCCCGGGTATGAGCCAACTAAAATAAAAAAAATTTTTTAAAAATTATGAAACAAGTAGATATTTTTTATTTTATGATTTTTATGCGGAAAATATTAAATGTCGTTAACTAATTAATTAATTAATTTGAGGTCGCGGATATTGTCAAGCCGTCTAGTGGCGATAAAAAGTAACTTTTTTTTTTCGAGAAAAAAAAAAACAAAAAAAACAAAACCTGAACTCTGTGTGTGTGTGAAAAAGAGAAAGCGATGGAGTAGTACCCATAGTCTATGGGACACTTGCAATTAAACAATTCAGCAGACTAGATGAAAATAACATTCAGCAAGAAGACTTGTTGCCACTTGAATTTCATTTAAAACTTAAATTAAAGGCCATTAGCTTTTACAATTAAAAAGTAGTAGTAGTAAGCGTTACGATGGATATATTGAATTTGCTGGGCTACGTTGAACTTTTGTTATGGTGATGCCTTTTCTTTTTAATAATAAACAACCACTTAATGGTAATATAGCATTATGGTTGATTTAAAACAAAATACTGACAGACATTTATGAGAATCACAGGAAATCCCTCACTAACACTCACGAGCACCGCTTACATACACAGAAAAAAGAAAAAAAAAAAACTCTGTAAAAATTGTAGATTTCTAACAAAATCTGTTTTTTGCTTCAGATCTCAGGTAAAAAAATAAAATAAAAATAAAAGATTTGGTAAAGGATTGTGCCAAACGGCAAATGAGGAAAATGAGGAAGAAAAGAAAGGCAATCATCATAAACTCGGGATAGGGCGACGATGAAGGTATTAAATTATTGATTGAGTCTTGCTGTCACTTTATCCTCCAGTGATTAGATGACAGAGATGGAAACTCAAAGAATAGAAATTAAATAAACTTAAATAAAAACGAAAAAAAAAATAGCAAAACAAAAAGGTTTTTAAAAATATTTTGCACGATTGTTTAATAATGTTTTTATGGAAAAAAAATAACGACAAACTCAGATACTCTTTCTTTTTCCTTCTATATCTGAAACACGTACACGCAAACTAAACATATTGCATGTACAGTTTTTTGTACACATACATACATGTAAGTAAGTAGTAACATGAAAATCTGTCCTACTCCCAACTGTCAGGAAGTTTGATAGTAAAATTATTTTGGGGAGGACACAAAATGACAATATTATTATTATTATATAGATTGATAGATATGTAGAGAATGTGAAAAAAAGATAAATAGGTAGATAGATATGAAGAGAATGAGATAGAAAACGCGAAAGATAAATATGAAGAGAATGTGAAAGATAATTAGGATGAGAATGTGAAAAACATAGATATGAAGAGAATGTGATAAGTTAGATTGAGATAGATAGATAGAACGAAGAGAATGTGAAAGATAGATCGATCGATAGAATGACCGTTGTCCTGAGACTAATTAAACTTTCATTGTTTTCTTGGCTTTGAGAATGTTTTGTTTTGTAATTTGATCGTTTCCAACATTTTATGTCCGTTTATGAAACTAAAAAAAAAACCCTTCTTTATTGTTGTTTATTTCCAAAAGTCCCCACCATGTTTTTTCTTTCTTTTTTTCAATTTATTTTTGTTTCGTTTTTATTTCTTAGTCTTCCTCGTTTTATTTTATTCCGTGTTTGATGTTCAGTTACTTTTTTTGTTTGTTTGTGACTGTCTTTTTTACAATGTTTATGTGATGAAAGCTTTCTAATGAACTCTTCCAAGCATATTTTAGTGGGCATATATTGCGAACAGTGCAGTAATATAGCGATAGCCTATTATTATTGCCCTGAAAACGAAAACCCTTCCTCCTTCCAGTTTAGTTTCCTTCGGTCGGACGATTTAAAAAAGAAAAAAAAAAAGGAAAATAATAATAAAGGCACCTTAGTTTTGTTGTTTCCTTTTCTTTGTTACAGTCACCTTTCTTCCTTTTTCATATGCCTGACACTTTCCCTGGAATCGGAATCAAAAGAAGCCAATCCATTTCTTTAATTTCTAAATACGTGTAAAAACAAACAAAAAACCCACAATGAAACAATGCCGTTATTAATTCGCACACTTCAAATTAATGTTGTTATTCTGTTCCCTCATGGGAAAAAATATTAAATTATATTTTTATTGTTTTTTTAATTTTCAGAATTCATGAAAAGTCAGAAAAATGCCTCAGGGCCTGTTGCAAAACAAGCACGAAGAGCATAGTAAATCTAATGGTAAGAAATTGTTTGTTTGTTTTTTAAAGTTTTAATTTAAGTTTTAAGCCCAAATTAAAGAGAACGTGGCTAAGTAAGTAAATAAAAACAAAGTGAAATACAAATATCCCAGTCATAAGAATATTAAGAAGTAAACAATGAAGGTTTTTTTTATTAATTATATGCGAATAAAATATGCGCAATTTTATTAAAAAGCTATATTTTAAATTAACAAAAGGAAAAACATTTTTTCAGTTTTTTTTTTTGGTTTAGTTGCTAAAAAAATTACCATTTAATGTTTTAAAAATTTTTAAGTGATTTGCACGCACCCCCCCAAAAAAAAACAGATTTTTCATTTCCTTACGTTACGTTACGACCACTTTAAAAATTGATTAATTCGTTTGTTTTACCTTAACAAAAATCAAGGTCTATGCTTTAATTAGGTCTTTTTAAAGAAAACCAATATTTACTTTTCAACTGTTGTGTTACGAAAATGCAATAAGTAATTTTAAAAAGTGCTTCAAACATTAAAAAAAAAAAATGTCAAGTTGCTAGAAAAAAACTTTTCCGAGAATTTTTTTTTCAGAATTAGTAATTACATACATAAAATAAAACAAATACAACCGACGAAGTTTTACTTTCAGTTTTTTTTTTAATAATAAAAGGTTAGATTTTAAAAAGTAGAAAAAAAAATGGTCGAGCCTTTTCAAATCTGAAACGTTGTGGAAACGACAACTGCCATTACTCTACAACTCCCTTTGTGTGTTTTCCTACTCCCATTACTCTCATTTCTCGCAAGAAAATCTCGTCTTTACGAAATTATAGCTTGGTTTTAAAATACTTTTTTTCGAAAATTAAATCTTGAGTAGTATTTCAATTGTTTAATTCTTATCATTAATAAATATTTCCAACCTTATTTGCATTAACTTTAAGTTAAGTTTCGCTGTGAAAAAAAGTAAAAAAAAAAAAAATATCTATGACGTTTTCACCATATTTTTACTTGCTGTTCGTTGAAAAAAAACAAAGACAATTCTAAATTAACAAGATGATATAAATTTTTTGCCTAAAATATTTTTTTTTTTTAGTTTTATCACTAAGTTTAATTCAGTTTTGGTCTTTACACAACTTCATTTATATTAATTACTTACCATATTAGTCATCGGTAATTTTCGTTGTTATCCGCCATTTGCGTCGGTGATTTAGCCAAGTTATCTACCCTGAAAGGCCATTTTTTTTTGTCGTGTCTGCATGTATATCGTTCTCTGAGATTGTTTAAAACTACAAGTTTGTCTATCATTTATAATGTCAATTATTTAGTTGTTAATCTAAAAAAAAGTCAATAATATTTAAGTATAATTAAGAATTAATAAATTTAATATCTTTCTTGGTGAAGATTACTGTTTTGACTTTTTATGTATGCAAGAATTTGCTTTGATTTGTAACTTAAAGTCTAAAAATTACTTTTTGTTTTTCTTTTCCACAGATTGAAATATGTTGA